ACGCGTTTTTATCATAAAAGTATTTCTTGTAATTTCGACTGAGAATGCTGCTGCATTTTATGTTGCGATAATGCCTTTGACGTAACCACATCAGTTCAGCGTTTTCATATTATATAACTAATTTTATTCTAAAAAAAGGAATAACTTATGGTTTCATCACGGTTTACCCATCATTCTAGAATTCAAGAAAACTTACATAGGCATATTGTTATATAATATAATAAGTTCAGTAAATGATATATGATAGTTAGATTCAAATGTTATAATTTTTGAAAACCCTACCAACCGAATATAGCACTTTGCATAATGATTTTTAGTATTTACCAACCCATATTTTATAGCATTTGGCATGTTGATGTCAAATTCTCTGACAAACCAATTTAATCCATTTTTGTTTTACTTCACTACAAAAAGAGAATTTCATTTCTTATAAATTAACTGCAGTAAGAAATTTAAATGTAGATCAGTCAAGACTGTGCTTCTAATTTCTGCTCCATTGGCATTTCTCGGAAATATGAACAAATTGATCTAGCTATAAATTTTTAATTAAAAATAGAACGGAAGAATTATAAACAGACAAGAAATTGACACAATTATATAGAGTTATTGTCTATTTAATGTCCTTCGTTTTTTTTTTCTTTTCTTTTTTTGAATAAGAAGTTATAACTATAGTTTTATTTGTGAATATTTCCTAACTTTCTTTGGCGTGTTTTCTCCATGCGTTCTAGTAATTTTCCATTATGTATGCATATCATTCTGTGGCCAACACTATTCATTTGTCAATCATGCATGGTTTTTGACATTTTCTTGTTATGTGCTATGTTTTCTTTATTGGTTTTGTGATAGGTGTTTGGCCGGAATCAAAGAGCTTTAGCGATGAAGGGATGGGACCAATCCCATCTAAATGGCGTGGAATCTGTCAGCTCACCAAAAATGGTTCTCGTTGCAATAGGTCCATTCTCTTCTCCATTTCTTGCTCCTTTCTCAAATAATTTCATTTTTTAAAGTAGGTTACATTTTTTGAATGGTACATTGGTCCCAATTTGTATCTTCAGTTGATCCAGAATCTTGATATGTAAGGTGAAAAAACCAATAGGTGTAATTGAATCTTACTTAAGTCCGTTGCTTATCCGGGCGACTTTTGCTCGCTAATGCACATGGGTGCCCATTGCATAAACAGCCAGAAATCGCTCATTCATGCAAGCAATTATCTTTAGCGCTGTTCCATTATATACTTGCTCCAATTAATCTATGTATGCCAACGACCTTTCTTGATATTTCACTTATTAGGAACTTGCTTAAACGAATGAGTGCAAATGAATGATTGTTGTTAGTATTTCACTTATTAAACACTTGCCCAACTAATGTGGGGTAGGTTCTCACCAATATGTTAGTTTCTGCTAGTTAAGAACAACCATCATTTGTTTTGATCAGATGGTATATTGTGGGATGTGATTGGGTAATTGACTTCTGAAAGTAAAATAGCATACATTGGGAATTGTTGGGTTACATCCATGATCTAAAAGGCGAACTTTAATATAAAGTTTGAAAAAAAAGGCCGGGGGGTCCTTGCTACAAAGTAACCTAAAGTTGTGTCTCCCACCTGTTTATCCAGTATTGTATATATACTTTAGCAATAAGTCAACTGGATCATTGTTTATGTTGCACATTTTCAACTCATGCAGACGTAATACCACCAACTACGCTAGCAATGTTTGTGTCACGTCGCTATTTAATTTGGTTAATGCAGTTGTTTAACTAGGCGATAACGGCTAATGTTAATTCGGATTAACACTTACGTAGGAAGCTGATCGGAGCAAGGTACTTCAGCAAAGGATACCTCGCGTATGCTTCCATGGTTAACTCCACTGCAGCCAAGTCCATCCAGCCCAACGCTCGTGACTATGCCGGTCATGGCTCACACACCCTTTCAACGGCTGGTGGTAATTTTGTTCCTAGAGCAAGTGTTTTCGGTAATGGCAACGGCACAGCGAAGGGTGGATCCCCAAAAGCTCGGGTGGCTGCGTACAAAGTATGCTGGCCGCCAATCAATGACAACGAGTGCTTTGATGCAGACATTTTGGCCGCTTTTGAAGCTGCAATTAGTGACGGTGTTGATGTGCTTTCAGTGTCTCTTGGTGGTGAAGCTGTAGAGTTTTTTAATGATGGGATTGCAATAGGGTCCTTCCATGCTGTTAAGAAGGGGATCACTGTGGTCAGCTCAGCTGGCAATTCAGGCCCTACTCCTGGGTCAGTGTCGAATGTGGCACCGTGGATGCTCACAGTTGGAGCTAGCACGATAGATCGCGAGTTCTCCAATTATGTTGCTCTTGGCAACAAGAAGCATCTCAAGGTATTTAAAACTAACACCCTAGTCCCTAGTCGCTAGTCCCGTGTTTATTGTAACGAGTAATGCAATAGGGGTAACATTAATCTATGACATGATATGGTAGTTGGTGTGCAAATAGACAGTGATAAAAACAATAACCCTAATCACTATTAGTCTGTTCATCATCACGAGTAATGCTACAGATATGACATTGATTTACAACATGATATGGTAGTTGATGTCCTAATCAACAGTTTAACATCCTTAAGTAACGATATTCTTGTTACTAGGGAGCAAGTCTTTCCTCTACAGGTTTGCCAGCTGAAAAGTTCTACCCATTGATCAGTGCAAGCGATGCTAAAGCTACTAATGCGTCTGCTTCTGAAGCGTGAGTAACATCAATTTTTCAATGATATGCTTGTGCATAATGTACATTACTTAACTGTACCTTCTCCAACTTCTTCAGCCAGCTCTGCAAACCTGGTACCCTTGATAAAAAGAAGGCGGAGGGGAAAATTTTGGTTTGCGTTCGAGGGGAAAATGCAAGAGCCAACAAGGGTCAACAAGCTATTCTTGCAGGCGCTGTTGGAATGATTTTGGTCAATGATAAGCTAAGCGGGAATGAAATCATAGCTGATCCTCACTTGCTTCCGGCTTCACACGTTAATTTTTCCGATGGAGAATCAGTCTTTGCCTACATCAAGTCGACCAAGTACATATTCTGATCTTTCATTTTGTGTGTTTTTTGACCTGAAAAGTTCGTGACTAATCTTCTACCCTCTCATTCAATGAAAATGAATCAGGATTCCTATGGCTTACATTACTCGTGTAAAGACTGAACTAGGAACAAAACCAGCTCCATTTATGGCTTCATTCTCTTCGAGGGGGCCTAACCCCGTTGAGCAGTCAATTCTTAAGGTAATGTTTGAAATTCCTTTTCATTCTTATGTGCAATGCTTCTTTAAATATTTTATCTAACCTGTTCAATGTTTGCGCATCAGCCTGATATCACAGCGCCTGGAGTGAGTATAATTGCTGCTTATACTCAAGCAACTGGGCCAACTGATGGGGAGTTCGATAAGCGGCGTGTACCTTTTAATACAGAATCCGGAACTTCCATGTCGTGCCCTCATGTATCTGGAATTGTCGGTCTTTTGAAAACCCTTCACCCGACATGGACCCCTTCAGCTATTAAATCCGCAATCATGACCACCGGTACAATTTTTCCCTTCTGGTTTAAGTTACCATAATTTTGTCACACGCATTCGAGTTGTTAATTTTCTTTATTTGGTTCCTTCTGCAGCAAGAAAACGAGATAACAACAAGGGCACAATGCTGGACTCATCCAAGGCCAGAGCAACACCATTTGCTTATGGTGCAGGACATGTTCAACCAAACCGTGCGATGGACCCTGGACTTGTTTATGACCTAACAACCGATGATTACTTGAACTTCTTATGTGCTCGTGGCTACAACGCAACGCTTCTCAAAGTGTTTTCTAAAGAGCCACATAAATGTCCCAAGGCATATAGTCTTTCTGATTTTAACTATCCTTCTATAACAGTTCCCAATCTCCGTGACATGCCGGTGACTGTGATCAGAAGGGTTAAGAATGTAGGTTCTCCAGGCACATACGTAGTTCGTGTTAAGGAACCGGTGGGAGTTTCTGTTACTGTTAAGCCTGGTACCTTGCAGTTCAAGAGCAATGGCGAAGAGAAGAAGTTCAAGGTTGTTCTGAAGGCTAGGGTTCAAGGGCCGCAAGACTATATATTTGGAGAGTTAAATTGGACGGATGGGAAGCACAATGTCAGGAGTCCTATTGTCGTCATGCACTACTAGAGATGACAGAGTAGGTCAATTCTTGTTCATCATTGTTTAAATCCTTCAAGATATGTGGATTTTAGGTTAGGCAGATGTATTTATACGTCTTTTCCGTCATTCCGAAAAGATTTATTTATCGAAAAACATCGGGGCAAAATAAGGGGAATAAAGAAGTTAAAGTATTTATTTGGTTATCATGTTACACATAGAGTAATGCTAGGAAAACTAAATTTGCAAACTAAATGATGTGTCATCTATAAGAATGAACACATTTATCAACGCTTAAGCAATAAACCAATCATCAACTTCTATGTCTTTTAGTTTCCAACATTTAGTTTACAAATTTAATCTCCCTTGCATTTATGCCAACAACTTCTGCAAGTTTTCACTATTCTTAAAACTACCCTTATCTTTCTTCTTCCATAATTTCTTCCCCTTAAAATTGCAAGCTTGTGAGCTGTCTCTTGACTGTATTCTTAGACTGGAAAGTATCTTTTTGTGCTTTTTGCTGAAATGCTACAGAGTCTTCTTGGCCTCTGGAAATGGTGATAACCTTAGTAGAATCAGTTGTCTCCCTTTAAAAAAAATAAAAAATAAAATATTAGTCTTTGTTGCTACAACCTCAGTAGAATCATTTTTATCAAGTTTCTTAGTTCTCTCAATCACAGGCACAAAATTATCATAGATCCTAATGAGACTAAGCAACAATTTTTCCACAATTCGTTTATTGCTCACTCTTCACTATACATCTTCATTTGGTTAATAAATCCAAACAGTCTAGTCAAATAAACAGATATCTCTCATACGAGCATACTCAAAGTCTCGACGAATACCTAGCAATTTCATAGCTCTAACTTGTGAATCGCCTCTCTATTCTTGCTTCAGAATATCCCCACGCCTCCTTTGCAGTCTCTTGGTTCGCAATCTTAGGTAAGATCTCATCTGAAACTGCACCTTGAATCAACCCCAACACCTTTGCGTCTCGAGCTATGGAATCCTGAACCCCAATCTTCTCCTTCTCGGTGAGTTCATCCTCAAATTCATCTAGAATCTCAAATCCTTCATCTACAAACTACCACAAGTTGTGAGACTTGAAAATCGTCTTCATTTGTATACACTAGAAGTCATAGTTTTCTGTGGTGAACACCGAACTTTGTAGCTCAACACCAGATCCAGCCAGTTCGTTGGTTGACTCAAAATCACAGATTTATGCCTCTTGGATTCGATTCAGAGAATGAGACAATGGTCAGTGAGAGTACAAATGACCATTGCAAATCCATCACAAATGCCTAGCACGCTAACAACTTAAATTGCAAATCCATCACAAATGCCTAGCACGCTAACAACTTAAACACACCAGGTGCTATGACAGTTGGCACCAATCTAGCCTCTGAGCTAGTCTGATCTCAGCCATCCTAAAAACTGGAGGTCTCGGGTTCGAGTTCATCCCTAACCGCAGCGCCAAGCTTTCACTTAATGTTTCACATTTTTGAAGTCAATTTATTTTCCTAGGAGATGCATGAACCATATAATCAAATGAAAAAGATAAGAACAAAATCAATTCATACCAAGATATCCAAAAAAAAAAAAGTTTTCTTACTAGACGGTCCATATGATGTTACTAAAACCTCTTGCAAGCATCCTCAAAATACTCAAAACTATAACTGGCTTAGAATAACTCAAGACAAACGTCTAAGGTGACACAAAACCGAAATCAAAACCTTTCCGCCAATCTAGCAGTAACTGCTCTTAATTTCGAATACACTTTTCCGGCAGGGGACCCTAAGATAAGGCTGCAAAGAGAATCCCTTGCAAACTTTGTTTTACCATCCTTACCGGAAAGCCTTCCTATAGCACGAGACAAGTGCACCCTAGGAAGTGTTTTAACGTCCTTGATCTCAAAAGACTCTACATAGAGCTCATCCATCCGCAAAAGGGCAATGGCGTCTATAACATCAAAACCCAGCATGAAGGCCTGAACAAAATCAGCGCACTTTTGTAGATTACTTACGGGCTGGTTTGGTATTGCTGTACTTTGAAAAAAAACTGTTTATGTTGTATTGTGTGAGAATAAACTCATTTTTGCTGCTTTATGACAACGTATCTAAAAAACAAGAATTCATATCATAATATTGTTAGCCTATTTAATTTAATTTTAATTTTATAAATATTGGTTTTTATAAAAACTAGTAATCATAGTTAAAAAAAAAAAAAAAAAAAAAAAAAAAGCATATTGAATAAGACTTGATGCCCTCAAAATTAAAACGCAATTACACTAAACTTAACGGCATACCCGAATTGGTTTATTAGAAATCTCACAATCACAAAATATATTTTAGGATTAAGTACCTTAACCCCTCAATCTTTTAGTGTCATTCTAAGCTCGTCTTAACCTTTTTAAACATTCCAGATAAGTATTCAACATATTGAGAATATCACATTCATTAAGCCACAGTTAATTTTTCAAACATAGATTATATAAAAAGCCCCTCAACTCAGTATAACATGGTCAACATTAATATTAGTCACCTCAAAATCTAAATTTCAAAAATAGATTATATAATGTGGAACCGGATGATCAAAGGGTATTGAATTGAATGAAAATAGATCCAAATTGAAATTACATTGTCTCCTAACAAATAAGAGGGTTAATAATTCAAAAAGGGTTCCAAGGAGCTTGTTTCTACTTATGTGATTTCTTCATCGCTGATTCTCGACTCATAAAGCTTCTAATTCTTCTTTGTGGGCAATGAAGATGATGGTGGGTACATCATGGCAGGGCATACTGTTTTAGCAACCTCCATGACCTTCTCCCCAATGTTGGCGGCAGTTGTAGGGTGGATTTGTTGCTTTTGCGTTGAGATTAGAGTTGATAGTCTGATTGAAGGCTATGCTTCTATGACCTTCTATTGTTCTTGGAGCCAAAGAAACCCTAATTAATTATTTCCTTAAAAAAAAAAAAAAAAACAAACAAACAAACAAACAAAACAAACCCCTAATTAATTTGACGAATTTTGAACTGGAGCTTTGATGGATGCAACATTTTCAATAAATGGAGTATTTGTTTGGAATGTTTAAAAAAATTATGACCAATTTAAAACGATACTAAAAAATTGAAAGATTTTTAGTACTTAATCCTATATTAGTATTTTAACAATCCAACAGTCCAGTAGTTACTCCACCATCGAAATTCAATCCGAAAAACGTCAATCCAGCAGGGGATAAAAAAAGCAGATTTGAAATAAAAGTAAAACTCAAGAAAATCAAATCGAAGGACGGACTGTCTATATAAATTGCAACCCTCGTTCGTGGGTCTCAATCAATAAGGTTAGATCAAAGGGTAACAAATACATAATAACTTCGAACTTTTAGTTGTTGAGTTCCCAAACTAGGCATTAATCCAACAACGAATATGAATTTTGCAAAGGTATAAAGTTTCAAATCAGCCACCGAAAAGATACCCGGCTGCTTGTTCTTCGTTGCCATCGAAAAATTTAAGAGCTTGTATTACCGCATCTCTCCCGAACCCTAGCTCGACAAGCTTTGCAACCTTAGCTTCAAATTCAGATCCCTGCAACCACAACTTCGTCAGATGTAGAAATTTTATTCGACGATCCAACTTCTCTGTATGGTGAACCCCCGAAAGACTGAAAACCCTAGTTGATAACTTAAAGAGTGGAGATTAAGCAAATGTAAAACACTACAGCATAATTAAACTTCTCGATATAAATTAAAAAATAGCGTAAAGCTAGAAAAATTTACCTGAGTCTGGTTTGAACGAGCACTCGCTGTGTCAAGTTTAAAAGGAAAAGGAAACGACCATCAGTTATACGTGGGGAAAATTCATACATGCACTGCTATCACAATTTGCAAGTAACCAATTTAACCGAGAAGAGCAAACAAACTAAATTTCACCTCCCTGACACAAATGATTATTAAGGTGTCCCATTAAACTCCATAATTCTCGTTAACCGATTCAACCAAACAAGAGCAAACAAACTAAATTGCACCACCCAACACAAATCATAACCAAAGCATCCGTTAACAACTATGAGTATTTTCCAAACTAACCAGAAGATTGCCCTCCTGATGGTACAGTTTTGTTCGTATCTGCTGTTCCTGCTGTAACCTAAAGAATACCATTATTAAAGCACAATAAGCAAAATGAAAGAAATATAAATCGAAAGTCAACTGCCTTGCTAAATTTGAAAACGTTTATAAGACAACATATCCTAATGAATGCTATGAACCAAAAAACTATGTTATATCTATAGATTCTATACTTAACAAGAAATTAGCAGGGGGTGGAAAGATATGAAAATAAAAAGGAGCAAATACAAACCCTCATACAAGATGATACAACTGTTTTTACAGATAACAACAGAATTTAGATCCTAGATTTTATTATTATTATGCATTTATGAACCGGAAACAGCAAACAGCAAGAATCCTTGACTTCAGGAAAAGCATAAACTCAAGTAGACTTACAGGAGCTCCTGAGCTGGATGCTTCCTTGGAGAACCTTTCTTCATCAAGAAAACGAGATGGGATGTCTTTTTCTGAAACAAATACATAGTTTTAGATTTTTCTTTAGCAAAGGACCTAAATATTCCAGAATATTTATACATACATACGTAGAGATCACGGGACCTACCTTGCAAAAATGGTACAGAAACTTCTCCACCGCCAACTCTCAAAAGATTTTCGTTCAAATCTATAATGCACTGAAGACATCTTTAATGTTAAAAGACTAAGTGACTAACCAATGGAGCTCCTCATTAATTACAACCATTGAGAAAGACAATTATCACAGAATTTGGAGTAGGGATTCTACCTGATGCTTACGGAGCATATCCAAACCAAAGAGAAACTCCATATTCGGAGCATCGAGAACCATGAATGAACAAGGGTAAAATATACTTCCAATCTACAGAAACAATGTTAAAAAGCCTGTCACTCAAGTAAACATTTCAGATAGAGTATAAAATAATACGGATTTGCTCAGCATAGGCAGCTACCTTGATTGGAGCTACATGAATTCGACCCAATATCTCTGATTGACCAACTCCATGAGCAATGCCCTTATAACGTTGATCTAAAAGCCTCAACAAGCTAGCGAGTTTAACACCCAAAACAACACAACATTAGGCTTTTGTTCCTGTAACTCTCACATTATTCATAAAAATATGAAATCAAAAGAATCAAAAGAATTTCTGATAAAGAAAGCAGCAGTAATGCATTCAAAAATTGCCTTCTTTTTCATAAAAGCTTATCAGAAGGGTTGGTTGCCAAAGCAAAATTTATGTGGCTAAAGTTGTATGATATAAAGTAGTCGGTGAAAAAAAAACGACTGAGATTGTTATTGAACTACCTCCTACGGTTCTCACATGCATCCAAATCAACATCAGTATTCATAAAAATATGGGAAAAAAAAAATCAACAGAAATTCTAATAAAGAAAACAGCAATAAAGCACTAAAAAATTCTCTCCTTTTCGCATGAACTTTTCTGAGGGTTGGTCACAAGATCTTATCTAAGTGGCTAAAGTGATATGATATAAAGTAGCTAGTGAAAACAACCAACTGAGATTGTCATCCAAATCAACATCCGTATTCATCTTAAAATCATGCATGCATATTTATTGTGTTTGGGCCACTGAATGTCCACCATGAAACAAACAACCACACAACTAATAGACAGTGGACTGATATCCCAGATAATAGCACCAAACTTGCTAATCCAAAAAGGCACGAGACTCAAGTACATGATCCAAGTATATTCATCAATAGAATATTAAAGTGAGTCGCTTGTGTAAAAATACTTTCACAACCAGTAAAGAATAGTCTAATAGTTAAAATTAGCTCATACCCACAACGCTCGGCACAACTTTTTGATATAATGGTTGACTGCGCTCCACTGTCAACAAATGCCTGGATACAAGTGGAAATAAACAAAGTATGTAACTTTTGCAGTTACTTAAAGTACAGACAATCCATAAAGAACGAGAACTGATAATATTAGTTGAGATGGATAGCCTTTATTGAGTTGTACAGGAAACATAAAGTGCAGTCGAATTAGGAAGGTAACACAGATGACAGAAAAATATTCTAGCCATCTCATATCACATTGAACTGAAGAGAAAGAAGAGTAACAGTCCTAAGCTATTAGGGAATAATTACCTTCAACGGGACACCATTCACTTCCATGTCAACATACAACATAACCTGGAAAAGCATAGAACATCAAACACAATACCAATTTAAAATAATAACACTGGTAGAGAAAGTTGATAATCATACATACCACTCTTGCAAAAGCTTCAGGGTTATGCTCCAGAGCAGCAGCCCAATTTTCATCAATTCCTTTCTGCAAAGGAAATAAGCAATATTAAAAAAAGGGTGGTGCTATCCAGACACCCCAAAGAGGTGTGTGGAAGTAAAAAGGACGTGTGGATAGCACTACCCTAAAAAAAAATAAAAATAAATAACAAAATACATATTGTGAGCAATTAAGAAATGGTTTTTAAGAGTACGTTACCACCGCAAATATTTGAGGAAAGAACAACTACAGCTCCAGGTTATTAAAGAAACTATGGAGTTGAATTATCTTCTGTGAACCTCACTCCTTTGACAAAAACAATAATCACAATACCACTAACCTGGCGAATAGCAGCTTCAATCTTCTTCTGGGCTTCCACATCAAAAGGATCTGCATAAAGAAGAGCCTGCTCACAAGATTCAGGTAACCAAAAGCTCCATCAGTTACAGGAATTATAAATCATGCCAAAATCTAGATTCAAGAGGTAACACAGGATAAACACGCATACGTACAGAAACAGACATCGCAATATTATTTACAGTTAGTTAGCATCAGTGTATTTCTCTGAAACTTCATCAATTACCATATGGCTATATGTATTTTAATCAGTATGTATGGAGACATATTACAGTGTAGGCCATATAAAGTAGCA